GATCCGGCCGATCGTCCCGCACGACCGTCCCAACGCCGCGGTCGACCCGAAGCCCTTTTGAAGCCCAAACTTATGTTTTCAAGCCCGGCTTAACCCTAAGCCGCCTCTAGAAAGACCTAGCACTATATATATGGATTTTTAGCCTCTTGAGAAAGAGAGCCGCCCTGTATTTCGATTTCCTACTCTAAGTTTTATTGCAATCATGTTTTCTTCATCTCTATGTGTGTTTGCTTTGATCATGTCTGAGTAATCCACTAGTTAGGTTGCTAGGGTTACTATTCAATGAGTTGCTTGCATGATCTTTGATTTCAATGATTAGCTAGGGATTATATTAGAGTCTTTGTCTCGTCTTGTGCACTTAACTAATGCTGATTGCTTTACCGCGCATCTAGTAATCCGATCTTAGGTTGATTTGAGCCTCGACAGTGCTGTATCATTCGCCGGACATATTCTTTGACAAGCTAGGTTTCTTAGACTGCGAAAGTTGATCTATCTATATCTAGTGAACTGTATCAGAACCTATTCATTCTAATGCTTGATCTAATCACCTAGGGACATACCAAAAGTTTAGCGACTAGGTAGATTAGCAAAGGAGCCGGAGCCTCGAAAGTGGAATGGTTTTATATTCGTGATCTGTGTTCTAGATGGTTCTTAATATCCCAATATCCCTAATCAATTAATCTATCATTGTTTCATTGATCATTGCTTGCTTCTCTGCGATAGCCCCTATGACCTAGCGCTTTTCCTTTATTGCTTTACAACCTCGTTATACTTGCTAGTTCGGTTCACCATTACAACCTCAATCATACTTTTGTTTTAGCTTGATCCAAAATCCATAGTTACAAAGTGTACTCAATAGCCAGTCCTTGTGTTCGATACCCATACTTCCGCGATCTGTGCACTTGCAGAGGTCTAGGAGTTTGGTAAAACCTGACTCCGCATCAAGTTTTTGGCGCCGTTGCCGGGGACTGCAGCAGTACCTTTGGAACTCGACTAGGATCTAGTCTAGAACCTTTTCCTGTTTTACTTTTCTTTTGCTTTTGAATTTTCAGTTTTTGATTTCCTTTTCTTTGATTTTTACTTTTGTTTTTGTTTTTCCCTTTTAGTTTAACTTGTTTCCAAGACTCTTTTCAGGTGCATGACTAGGAGGTCCAACAAGGACAACCTAGTTGAACATCCAGAGATAGACAAGCTTGAGAAGCAACTTAGGAAGCAGAAAGCCCAAGAGATGGCCGACGAAGCAGCTCGCGCTCACGCCGCTGAAGTGGCGCGCGCTCAAGAAGAAGGAAGAGATCCACCTCCTCCTCCTCCTAATCCACAAGACCTGCTGGAGATGTGAATGCACAACCTCAAGCTGGAGCACCAAACAATCGGAGACTATGACTCTGCCGATGCTTTCTTCATGGATAGAAACCCTATCCATCCACCACTTCCTGCAAGGAATGACTATGAGATCAAGCCTCAGATCATAGCATTGGTTAGACAGAACCAATTCAATGGACTTCCAGCTGAGCACCCTCTTGATCACATAGAAAACTTTGAAGAAATTTGCAGCACTACAAGATCCAATGGAGTCTCTGCTGACTACCTTGAAGTGCAAGCTCTTTTCATTCTCTCTTGGCGACAAAGCTTCAAGATGGTTGAAGTCTCTGCCAGCTCACTCCATCACCACTTGGGATGAGTACAAGGCTGCATTCATCAACCACTTCTACACCAAACAGAGATCAATTTCTGTGAGGAACAAGATCTCCACTTTCGCCAAGCCAACAATGAATCTTTCTATGAGGCGCTAGATCGATTCAAGGAGTACATTAGGGACTGCCCTAATCATGGTTTCAATGAGGGAAACCTATGGAACATCTTCTATCGTGGCATAGACCACAAGTACAAGCTTTCATTGGACACTGCAAGCAATGGAAACTTCATGACCAAGACTGTTGATGAAGCTAAGGTTCTTATTGAGAATCTTGCAGCTAGTGATTGTAACAACTGTCCTGATTATGACCGCTCAAGCCGCACCACTACTAGCTCCCCTGATTCTTTTCAAATGACTGAACTCAAGAACATGATGGCTCAAGTTCTTAAGGGACAGCTCAAGCATATCAATGCAATAGAAGGGATGAGTGATGCTAATGAAGATTCATCAAGAGAATGCATGGGAGATTTCTCTAATGAAGCCAATGAAGAAGATGTGAACTACATTGGAAACTATGGGAACAAGGGATACAATCCAAGCTATCGCCCAAACCCCAACATGTCTTATAGAAACCCCAATGTGGAGAATCCTCAAGACCAAGTGTATCCTCCAAGGTATCCACAACAACAAAGACCTCCTTACCAATCTCAAGGAAGTCAATTTCAGCCAAGGCAAGGATATGAGCAGAGATCATCATATCCGCCCAAGGAGCCATATGCTTCTTCACCAAATCAAGCTCCTCCAAACCAACAAGGTGGGAGATTTGAAGGAATCCTCCAACAGATCATGGATGGCCAGAAGAGAAACATAAAGAGATGTATGAGAAGATGGACACTTTGTTCAGCAATCTCAACACCAAGTATGATGCTGTTGCCACTCATGTGAAGAAACTAGAGACTCAAGTCACTCAAACTATGGAAGCTGTTAAGAGACAGGAAGCTGAATCCAAGAAGTCCTTTTGCAACTCAGCCGCCATAGAAGAAAGATTTGAAGACCAAGTTCCAGAATGGATGCTTTCAAAACCTACTGTTGATTGCATGATTTGGCCTGAAGAGAATTACCCAGAGAGAGAGTCCAATCGAGCTAGAAAGAGAAGACTCTTCCCAAAGATTATCCCCAAGACAGATAACTCAGGAAAGTTTGTTGTGCCTTGTATCATCAAAGGTAACATTCTTGAGCAATCTTTGTGTGACACAGGAGCCAATGTGAACATCATGTCTAAGAGGATAGCTGACAAGATAGGCCTCACCAAGATAGAGCCATCATCCATCTCCATCAACTATGCTGATTCATTCTCACAAACCCCTATGGCTTTGTGCCTAATGTGATGGTGCAGATTGGAAATTGCTCTATCCCTACTGATTTCCAGATTGTGGAAATGAGAGAGAGTAGCCATAGACCTCTCATATTTGGAACCCCTTTCCTGTCTACTGTGGGTGCCATATTTGATTTCCCCAATCAAAGAATCTCTTTCAACAAGGTGAACAAGGGTATGTTCTTCCCTATGTGTTCAACAAAGAACTCTTTTGTTGACATGGTCCAAGAGGAGAAAGCTACTTTGAAGCCACCCCAAGAAGGAGAAACTGAAGAAACAATCAAGGAAGATCCCATTCCTAAGCCCAAGCAGCTTGCCAAACAAGCAAGGAGTAAGACTAAGGCCCCTACACCAAAACCGCCCAAGGGATCAACCAAGATTGAAGATGAGGCCAAGCCAAGAAGGAAGGTTAGAAAACCTAGGTCTGGCCGCAACATGAAGCTTCTATTCCCAAAGGAGCTTATTGATGAGAATCTAGAAGGATTCAAGGAGAAAGTGACAAGAACTCTAAAGCTTTTTCCTAAGGCAGTAGTGCCAAGGGACATTCATGGAGAGATTGTCTATCCAGCTGTGAATCACCCACCAGATACTCATTGCAAGGAGAAAAGACTTGGAGGATCAAGGATGCCTCTTGTCTCCATCTTCTCCTGAGCGCCAAGCCTTACAGTCAAGCTAAAGACTTAAAACAAGCGCTGCATGGGAGGCAACCCATGAGGTACTTTTACTTTTCTTTCTTTAAATTTCTTAGTTTTTGTTTTGCTTTTGTGTTTTCTTTGTTTTAAGATAGGATAGAAGGAGAAAAAGGTGTGAAAACACAATCCGCGCCAAACATTGGCCGCGGACGCGCAAAGAGAATTTTGGCCGAGCAATCTCCAACCGGGCCGACCGTCACGGTCGAGCCGGGAAGGAATGGCCGTGCTCGGCCGGATTGATCTATCGCGACAAAAACCGTTCGCGCACGCACGAACCGGGAAAGAAGGCCGCGATCGGCCGAAATTTTGTATCGGAACGGACCGACCGTGCCGGTCGATCCGGGAAACAAACGATCGGCCTCGGCCGAAATCTCTCGGCCACGAAAATTTGGCCGACCAAATCGCTCGACCGCGACAAAATCCATCGGCCAAAACTTTTCTCGGCCAAGGTACACAATGGCAAAGACAAAAGGAAATGAGAGTATGAAGAAGAAGAAGAACCCATTCATGGAACCACCAAAGAAACAAATCAAGCTAGGGAGTAGTAGCTCCAATGCAAGAGCAGCAATACCAACTTCACCACATTCCATTGATGCAATCAAGAACATGTGGAGAGTCCCAAGAGGAGAAGATGATTGGGCACTTGTAACCTTTGTTGGAGAACAAAATCAAGACCCAAGAAAGTGTAAGAAGGCAATGGAGAAGGTGAACATCGAGCCATGTGTGAAGATGGACACCCAAACCCTTGATCTTCTCAAGATAAGAGATGATGTCACATGGTACATAAGGAAGCTAGGCTTGAGCAAGCTCTTCAAGCTAGAATGTAGTGAGTACTCACAACTCACCAAGGAGTTCCTCTCCACAGTAGCTCTTGCCTTTCCCAACCACAATGGAGACCAACCAGCTGGTGATGGACTCCTACTCTTCAAGATAGGCGATGCCAATGGGCGCATCTCCATCTCAGCTCTATGCCAACTCTTTGGACTTCCCAATGAGACAGCACATGACTTCAAGGAGAACTCAAAGAGGAAACAAGCTGCCTTTGCTGATTGGACACACTTTGCCAATGAACCATTCTTGCCTTCAAGGTCAAAGGTGTCTAGAATCACCCATCCAGCCATTCGCTATGTGCACCGCCTCATCTCCACCACTTTCCAATGCAAACAAGAAGCCAACAAGGTCACAACTGATGAGTTCTACATCCTCACCACACCATTCATCAAGCATGAGTACAAGGCCAACCTTGGACTTTTACTTGCCAAGACATTCATCAATGTGAGGAAGCTAGCTCAAGACTTGGAAGGCAACAAGAAGCTTTGTGTTCGTTTTGGGAGGCTTATCACGGCCATAGTACTGCATGTGGGGATTGACATTCCCAACTATGAGCCACTACCCAAGCCAACCCCTTTGGATCTCCATGCTCTTCAGCACATCCACTTCCTAAACCGTTGGACTAAAGACCCAACTCGGTTTTGCTATGAGTTTCCAATTGGTCCAGCCAACACTTCCCTTGTCTTGCTGCCACATGAGACATCCCAAGCCTACGCTCAGGAGTTGTCACTTTCCAGCCCAATGAGGAAGATTCTATGTTCCATCAAGTGAGAAACCATCATTCCCCATGCTCACCTATCGCACACTTCAGCATGCAGTCAAGACTCAACGCCGCCTCCAAGAACGCCATGTTCTCACTACTGGCATGGCGCGCACCAAGCTCTAGACCGTGTTAACAAGCTGGAGAAGATAGTGGAATGCCAATCTCGCTTCATCTCACGCCTAGTCCGCGTAGTTCGCCACATTGCACCGGAGAGACTCTTTCGCCCTTCTTCCACCGCTAGAGAGCCATATGAGATGAGTTCTCACTAGACTCAGAGTTCAGAAGGCGATGACCCCATAGATGAGGAAGAGAGTTCTTCTCACTGCCACACATAGTCATCTCAAGTGGTACTTAGTGCAATGGACACTTACAAATCTCCATTTTCTATCCCTATCTTATTTTAATGAATTTTTCTTTATTTTTCTTTTACTTTGAATATTACCTCTCACCTTAATGTGATTTGCTTTCACCGGGACGGTGCAAGTTAAGTCTGGGGGGAGTTTTATTGTGTTACTAATGCATTTTTCTTTCTTTTCTTATGTTTTATTCACTTTGTTTCATGTTTTTCAAAAAGTTTTATTGAGTCAAAAACCAGTCCGGAAGTTATGAACTTGCTTTGAGAATTGAGAGTGTTATGCTAACAATCCATGACCCTAGAGCAGAAACCAGCTAAAGGCACAAGCCTAACAGAAGCTCTTACAGTGGATCGACATGCTAGCTCAGCAAAATTTCTAAGGTAACCAAGCAATCTAGAGTTAACCTCACCCTTAATCAATCTTAATTACTCTTGTCAAGGGGGTTGGCATACATGTCGACAGTTCCTTGCTTGATTTTCAATAAGATTTGTCTAATCTTTAAAGAGTTCTCCTCTCTCTCCCATCCCAAATGGTAAGTATATTTATGAGAAAAAGCTCAAAGAGCACAAGGAAAACAAGTAAGCATGAGGAATGCATATGTCTGTACCTTCATGTCTTATGGAATACCTTAGTCAAACAAGGAACAAGCTAAAGACTTATCCTGTGGTTGAAAGAAGGGTCAATAGAAAAAATAAAATGATACCCTAGAAAAGTAGGGAGAAATTGACCTTTCAAAGTTCTGATGTGAGAAAGAGAGAGGAAAAGAACTCATTGCACTTAAAGAGGCAATCTTGGAGAGGATCAAGTGGGTAAGAACAAGTTCAATTGATCGATGTCCCCTTGATAAAGAATTCACGCTTTAAATTTATGCAAGAGGTTAGCAATAGAGAGTTTGGATTGCTGGATGAGACTAGTTGGGTTGGTATTGTTCGCTAAACTTGCAGGGTGTATGTGAAGCTAACCTTATGTTGTCTATGTTCATAGTGGAATACAGGAAAGGAACCTTTCACAGGATATTCAAAAGAGCAAGGGAGCTTCCACGTTTTCAAACCTCTTTCACGGATTTAGATTCTTTTTGCTTGAGGACAAGCAAAGATCTAAGTCTGGGGGAGTTGATATACCTCTAATTTACCCACTTTTTATACTGTTTTAGCATTGTTTTCTAATGGTTTTTGGCAGGTTTTCTATCTAAAAAGGTAGTTTTACTGTGTTTATAGTGTCTAGAGTCTAAACAGGTGAAATGATGCATTTTGGAGCAAAACCATAGGATTTGCACTTCAAGCCGCTCCATGCACAAGCACCAACTTTAAGAGGGCCCAGAAAAAGATCTACTCAATGGATTTCATCAAGACCAGTTCCCTGCGTGCTCTGATTGAGTTAACTTTCCAACGCAACTGGAACGGCCTAATTTGGATGAGTAGAAAAGGAGTTATAACCAAAAGAGTGAAGACTGTCCAGACGGCTCTATCGAGAATCAGCGCCCAACCGCGCAGTCCGGCTGGCCGAGGAACATGTTCGCGCTCGGCCAAATCATATCCGTCCGTCTGAAGTCTCGGCCAAAGTTCAAACCGACCGGCCGATCACGCAACACGACCCGGGAAACATTGTCCCGCGGTCGGCCACGCACAACGCTCACGCCACGCCGCGCACGACCAGCCGCGCGAGCCGGGAACAAGCCTCGCGGCCGCGCAACCGTTCGCGTACCACGGCCGATGCATCCGTCCGAGCCGGGAAAGAACGTCCCGCGTCCGGCCGAGAACCATCGGCCAAATCTCATCCGCCGACCACGCCGGCCGACCGTGAATCCATCCGGCCACGACCGTTCCGACTCGGCCACGACCCGATGTCCGGCCGATCGTCCCGACCGACCGTCCCAACGCCGCGGTCGACCCGAAGCCCGTTTTGAAGCCCAATTTCATATTTTCAAGCCCGGCTTAACCCTAAGCCGCCTCAAAAGACCTAGCACTATATATATAGCTTTTTAGCCTCTTGTGAAAAGAGAGCCGCCCTTGTATTTCGATTTCCTACTCTAAGTTTTATTGCAATCATGTTTTCTTCATCTCTATGTGTGTTTGCTTTGATCATGTCTGAGTAATCCACTAGTTAGGTTGCTAGGGTTACTATTCAATGAGTTGCTTGCATGATCTTTGATTTCAATGATTAGCTAGGGATTATATTAGAGTCTTTGTCTCGTCTTGTGCACTTAACTAATGCTGATTGCTTTACCGCGCATCTAGTAATCCGATCTTAGGTTGATTTGAGCCTCGACAGTGCTGTATCATTCGCCGGACATATTCTTTGACAAGCTAGGTTTCTTAGACTGCGAAAGTTGATCTACTATATCTAGTGAACTGTATCAGAACCTATTCATTCTAAAGCTTGATTTAATCACCTAGGGACATACCAAAAGTTTAGCGACTAGGTAGATTAACAAAGGAGCCGGAGCCTCGAAAGTGGAATGGTTTTATATTCGTGATCTGTGTTCTAGATGGTTCTTAATATCCCAATATCCCTAATCAATTAATCTATCATTGTTTCATTGATCATTGCTTGCTTCTCTGCGATAGCCCCTATGACCTAGCGCTTTTCCTTATTGTTTACAACCTCGTTATACTTGCTAGTTCGGTTCACCATTACAACCTCAATCATACTTTTGTTTTAGCTTGATCCAAAATCCATAGTTTCAAAGTGTACTCAATAGCCAGTCCTTGTGTTCGATACCCATAGTTTCAAAGTGTACTCAATAGCCAGTCCACGGCCGATGCATCTGTCCGAGCCGGGAAAGAACGTCCCGCGTCCGGCCGAGAAACCATAGGCCAAATCTCTATCCGCCCGACCACGCCGGCCGACCGTGAATCCATCCGGCCACGACAGTTCCAACTCGCCCACGACCCGACTGTCCGGCCGATCGTCCCGACCGACCGTCCCAACGCCGCGGTCGACCCGAAGCCCGTTTTGAAGCCCGATTTCATATTTTCAAGGCCCGGCTTAACCCTAAGCCGCCTCAAAAGACCTAGCACTATATATATAGCTTTTTAGCCTCTTGTGAAAAGAGAGCCGCCTTGTATTTCGATTTCCTACTCTAAGTTTTATTGCAATCATGTTTTCTTCATCTCTATGTGTGTTTGCTTTGATCATGTCTGAGTAATCCACTAGTTAGGTTGCTAGGGTTACTATTCAATGAGTTGCTTGCATGATCTTTGATTTCGATGATTAGCTAGGGATTATATTAGAGTCTTTGTCTCGTCTTGTGCACTTAACTAATGCTGATTGCTTTACCGCGCATCTAGTAATCCGATCTTAGGTTGATTTGAGCCTCGACAGTGCTGTATCATTCGCCGGACATATTCTTTGACAAGCTAGGTTTCTTAGACTGCGAAAGTTGATCTACTATATCTAGTGAACTGTATCAGAACCTATTCATTCTAAAGCTTGATTTAATCACCTAGGGACATACCAAAAGTTTAGCGACTAGGTAGATTAACAAAGGAGCCGGAGCCTCGAAAGTGGAATGGTTTTATATTCGTGATCTGTGTTCTAGATGGTTCTTAATATCCCAATATCCCTAATCAATTAATCTATCATTGTTTCATTGATCATTGCTTGCTTCTCTGCGATAGCCCCTATGACCTAGCGCTTTTCCTTATTGTTTACAACCTCGTTATACTTGCTAGTTCGGTTCACCATTACAACCTCAATCATACTTTTGTTTTAGCTTGATCCAAAATCCATAGTTTCAAAGTGTACTCAATAGCCAGTCCTTGTGTTCGATACCCATACTTCCGCGATCTGTGCACTTGCAGAGGTCTAGGAGTTTGGTAAAACCTGACTCCGCATCAGATACCAAACGGTTAAAACTCTCATTGAGTGCAAGCTTCCTAAGAACAGTCCAGTTAGCCCTCATGTCATTAAGATGATGGGTTATATTGATAACTTGGCAAAACTGGACTGCCCAATCAGCCAAGAGTTGGCCACTGACCTCATCCTGCAGTCATTGCCGTCAAGTTTTGATCAGTTTGTTATGAACTATAACATGAACAACATGACAAAGACTTTGACTGAGCTGCATGGGATGCTTAAATCTGCTGAACCCAACATCATGAAGGACACCCCTCACGTCCTAATGGTACAAGGGGGTAAGAAGTTTAAGAAACATGGTAAGGACAAGGGAAAGGGCAAGGCAAGCTGGGTTAAGAACCCAAGCAATTCTGAACCTACTCCTAAGACCAAACCTGGTCCTTCTGGTGAAGACAAGTGTCATTATTGTAATGATTCTGGTCATTGGAAGAGAAACTGCAAGAAATACTTGGAAGATCTGAAAAAGAAGAAGAAGACTTTTGAGACTTTCATCTTCAGATATTTATGTTATAGAAGTAAATGTTGCTACTTCCAGTTCTACTTCATGGGTATTAGATACCGGCTGTGGTGCTCATATTTGTGTTAATATGCAGGGCCTAAGCAACAGTAGAACTTTGGAGAAAGGACAAGTGGACCTGCGTGTGGGAAATGGAGCAAGAGTTGCTGCATTAGCTGTAGGAACATTTCATTTGTCTTTGCCATCAGACTTGGTTTTAGAACTTAAAAATTGCTACTATGTACTTGCTATAAGCAGAAATATTATTTCAATTTCATGTTTGGATTTGGAAGGATTTCATTTTACGATTAAAGACAAGTGTTGTTCATTTGATCGTGATAATATGTTTTATGGTAGTGGTCCATTAGAGAATGGGCTTTATGTTCTAAACCAAAGTGTGCCTGTCTATAACATTAGAACCAAAAGATTTAAGTCAAATGACTCGAATCAAACTTTTCTTTGGCATTGTCGTTTGGGCCATATAAATGAGAAGCGCATTCAAAAGCTTCATAGTGATGGACTTTTGAGCTCATTTGATTTTGAATCAATTGAAAAATGTGAGTCTTGTTTACTTGGAAAAATGACTAAGGCTCCTTTTACTGGACACAGTGAAAGGGCCAGCGACTTATTGGGCCTCATACATACAGATGTGTGTGGACCAATGAGTATAAATGCTAGAGGAAACTATCAGTACTTCATCACATTTACTGATGACTTCAGTAGATATGGCTATGTTTATCTAATGAAACATAAGTCTGAGTCTTTTGAAAAGTTCAAAGAATTTCAGAATGAAGTACAAAACCAGCTTGGTAAAACAATCAAAGCCCTTCGATCAGATTGAGGAGGAGAGTCTTTAAGCCAAGCTTTCATTGATCATCTTAAGGAGTGTGAAATTGTTTCACAACTCACTCCTCCAAGAACACCACAATGGAATGGTGTATCTGAAAGGAGAAATCGGACTTTATTAGATATGGTTCGATCTATGATGAGTCATACAGATCTTCCATTATCCTTTTGGGGATATGCTCTAGAAACGTCTGCGTTTACGATAAATAGATATCCATCAAAATCAGTTGAAAAGACACCATATGAGATATGGACTAGAAAAGTTCATAATTTGTCTTTTATGAAAATTTGGGGTTGTGAAGCTTTTGTAAAACGTTTACTCCCAGAAAATAAGCTTGGACCCAAATCTGATAAATGCTTCTTTGTTGGTTATCCAAAAGAAACCAAAGGTTATTACTTTTACAACCCTGCCGAGACCAAAGTGTTTGTTGCTGAAATGGTGTCTTCCTGGAAAAGAGAATTTCTTTCTAAGAAGAACAGTGGGAGTGAAGTACAACTCGAAGAAGTTCGAGAGACACAGGAGGCTCCGACTTCCCAGGAAGAGCCTTCAGTTAGATTTACGAGCAGTCGTAGTATCTACACCTGTGGAACCTGAAGTACGTAGGTCCGAAAGGGCTCGTCACGAACCTAATAGATATGGGGTTTGGGTGACAGACGATCATGATCTATTTCTAATAGAAAGTGATGAACCTATGTCTTTCGAGGAAGCAATGATGGGCCCTGATTCCGAAAAATGGCTAAAGGCCGCAATTCCGAAATGGATTCCATGTCAGAAAACCAAGTATGGACTTTGGTTGATTTACCTGATGGTGTTAAAGCCATTGAGTGTAAATGGGTTTTCAAGAAGAAAATTGACATGGATGGTAATATTCAGATATACAAAGCTAGATTGGTGGCAAAAGGTTATAAACAAATTCATGGTGTAGACTATGATGAAACCTATTCCCCAGTTGCAATGCTTAAATCCATTCGGATTCTCCTAGCAACTGCCGCTTATTATGATTATGAGATATGGCAGATGGACGTGAAAACAGCTTTCCTTAATGAAAACTCGAAGAGGATGTATACATGATACAACCTGAAGGTTTCACAAGTCCTGAAAATGCTGGGAAAGTATGCAAACTTCAACGTGCCATATATGGGTTGAAGCAAGCATCTCGGAGTTGGAATCTTCGTTTTGATGAAGCAATCAAAGAGTTTGATTTCATTAGAAATGAAGAAGAACCGTGCGTTTACAAGAAGACTAGTGGGAGCGCAGTTGCATTTTTGTATTGTATGTAGATGACATACTTCTCATTGGGAATGATGTTCCTTTGCTTAAGTCTGTAAAGGCTTGGCTGGGAAGTTGTTTCTCAATGAAAGACATGGGAGAAGCTGCTTATATTCTTGGAATAAGAATCTATAGAGATAGATTACATAAGCTTATTGGACTTTGTCAAGACACTTTTATAGATAAGGTCTTGCACAGGTTTAGTATGCATGATTCCAAGAAAGGCTTTCTACCAATGTCTCATGGCATTTCTCTTAGCAAGACGCAGTGTCCTTCGACACATGATGAGCGAGAGCGCATGAGTAGAATCCCATATGCTTCTGCTATAGGATCTATCATGTATGCCATGCTTTGTACTCGTCCTGATATTGCATGTGCTTTAAGCATGACGAGTAGATACCAATCAGATCCAGGTGAGAGTCACTTAGTCAAAAACATTCTTAAGTATTTAAGAAACACTAAGGACAAGTTTTTAGTCTATGGAGGAAGTGATGAGCTTGTTTTGAGTAGTTACACTGATGCTAGTTTTCAGACAGACAAAGATGATTTCCGCTCACAACCTCGCCTATTCATTGATTGGATTAAAGGAGCGGCCTACTCTGTATAACCTGAGAGAGGGAATCTGGATTTATCTTTTGTCTTAATGGAGGTGATGTGAGCTGGAAGAGCTCCAAGCAAAGCACCGTGGCCGACTCAACAACTGAAGCTGAATACATTGCTGCTTCTGAAGCGGCAAAGGAGGCTGTTTGGATTAGGAAGTTCATTACTGAACTAGGTGTAATTCCTAGTTATTCTAGCCCGGTGGATCTCTATTGTGACAATAATGGAGCCATTGCTCAGGCAAAGGAACCTAGATCACACCAGAAATTCAAACACATAGAAAGGCGATATCATCTCATTCGTGATATTGTTGATAAAGGAGATGTGAAGATTAGCAGAGTCTCAACGGATGCAAATGATGTTGATCCTTTGACGAAGCCTCTTCCACGGCCTAAGCACGAGAGTCATACTACTGCTATAGGCATTAGATTTCTTAAACAACGATCTTGTTTCTAGTGGGAGCTTTTCTTTTATTATATGATATGATGTTCATGTTAACATACATTTGGTTATGTTTTAATTTTAATGAAATTTGTTTCAGAATTATTTAATTAATTTTTATTAAATATTAGTCCCAAAATAATTTATGTTATTTTATAGGTCATCAAATATCTGACTTGATCATGAAACCCTATAAGTGAAAATAATATAAATTATTGAAGTCTCTAGTCGAGGTTATTAATATGGGACATTAATAACTAAAATGACTAGTATGTGAGATGACTGATGACTAAGTTTCATGAAGTCATTAATATGTTGTATTAAAGTCAATCACATGAATATGTGTTAGTGAACACATATTGGACTGACCCGTCATGAGAATTTTACAAGATTGTTATATGAGTGTCATAAAAATTTCTCATTATAACTATAGAGTATAGTCCTTTAACCTGAGTTCATCATGATATTTTTCACATGGATTGGTGTGCTTTGACTCTGTCAAACGTTAACCGTAAAAGGTGATTATAAAGACAGTGATTGGGCACATTATGAATTGTGTGAGATACAGGGATGGAACAAGATGGGATTTGTCCCTCCTATGTAATGGGAGATTATGTCTCTGGGCCTATCGAAGATTTGATACTGAAAAATGCATGGCTGTGCTCAAACGAGGTGAATGTCAATCGTTTGTTTGATCAGTATAAATCAGAGTTCGATAAATGTGGTCTGGCTAAATAAGGATGACACCATTTCTTGCTTTATGCTAAGATCGAGATATAGTGACAAGGATTATGAGAATAGTTGATTCCAGTACAAGTGGGAGATTGTTGGGAATGTTCTGAAATCATTTGTATTTCTCTAGTTATAGTTGTAACGTCAAGGTTACAAAATCGTTTAATATTAAGTGATTATAATATCTTGCTAGAGGCCACTTATAATCTATGAGTTATGAACTCATTGCTAATATTATACGGTCCTACAGGGTCACACACCTAAGAAAATTGGATGATAATATATTGGACTTAGAATAATATACATATACATAAGATGTATATAAATTACGTTAAGTTATTATAATCTCTTACTTGAAGAGAAAGTCATGTGCATGATTATGGGCTAAGACCATTAATCCTTGATTAATTAGGGTTCGTGTATTATATAATGGTGCACTTAACTTTGATAATAAACATTCGTATTCATAGTTACGTTTGCGTTGACGGCAAACCCTAAGTCCATCTCGAGATTAGATCTCAGCGGCACTAGCATCCCGCCTTGATCCAGTTTGTGTGCGTGTGGATACCGGTGGAGGCACTACACTTGGAGTGCTTGTATAACCTTGATCTGTTTCTAATCACCGTTCCGCTGCTAAGAAGCAAGGTATATTCAAGACTCTTAGATCTAGATTTATTTCAATATTTTGCTTGAGGTCCTGGAGCTAATTTCATGAGTAGTTTTATAAAGTGTTATAAACATGTATGAATTCCAACAGAGATTTGATCTCTTTCCTTAACTCAATAAATCTCCCGCAGTGTGGCGGTTTTGATGAGACTTTTGAATCCCAGGATACAGCTGCGTGAGACTGTAGTTGCAACACTCAACTACAGAATCTACGAACTAAATATCTACGCTATACTCTTGAGACTTACGTTTAGAGAAGAAGGAAAAGATGTGAGAGAATTTTTGCTGGAGTGTTTTGATTTTCGAGTGAATAATTAATGAGAGGGGTGAGGCCCTTTATTTATAGCAGAGAGAAGACTTGCTCGCCAAGCAATATGGATTGCCTCACAAGGAAGGAATATCCTGCGGATATTCTCCTTTATGTCTCCCACTAAATGCTATTGAACATTGTTTGGAAATGTCTATATTTAAACAAGAGGAAAATGTTTCTTCTTTCCAATGTGTGACAAAATGAAGTACTCCTTCATTTAATTCACTTAACTTTCTCATTCATTTTACATGAGCCTAAGCCCATTTATTTTAACATTTGTCCACATTTTATTCAGCCTATGAAGGCTTAAAATTTGGTTCCAACATAGTGCGGCTCTCTCCACAAACTTGACTTTTACCTTAGTTACTAAAAAAACAAACTATAAAAACATACAAATAAAAGAAAACACAGAGACAAAAGTTGCCAAAACTTACTACGGAACTTGCTTTTATCAAATTTGAATACAAATTAAAATTGGTTTTTAAATTTTTTGAATACAATTAGCTTCAATTACTCGAAGGTTGATCAATGGAATTTCATCCAACGCTTTGTTCTAGCATTGCTGAAGTTTGACTATGAACCTAGTTACATATTTATTTGTATCTGTTTGTTTAACTTGTTTTGGTTTGATGCATTTGCTTTCATTAAATTGGCTTTATTTCCCTACTTAAGCAAATAAGAAAATGAACTCTGTAAACCACACACATCTCAAGTTACTTACTCAATCTTTTGTCTATTGTTAAATAATCTGAATTAATCAACATGCAACAACATGATAAGAGGTCATTTATCACATAAGTAAAATCACAGCGTTTCATGATATCCACAGACCCACAATATAGTAGAAAGAAGTTTACTTTTACAGGGGGAGGAGACAAAGATGATCTAGTAAGAAGACAACCTGTCCTAACCGAGCTATCTCTTTAGTGTTCAATGAAGACCCAAGTTCAATGATGTTAAATAATCGAGTCACCAACAAACCTCAGCAATAATTTATAGTGTGACCAATATATCTTTTGATAGGGAAATCAAATTTCTGGAAAATTGCGACGGCCCCAGATGCATAATCTCAATAACAGAATAAAACATGTTTGGGAAAGAATAGCAAACCTTCTTTGTCGAAAAGAGATGCGCAGTTAGCTTAACCGGAAAAGCTCTTGGTCACTGTGTCTGGAATGCATGTGGTTTAACTGAGGAGCATTCATGATTTTCATCCCTTTAGATATTTTGTAGATCGTGCATGTGATATGAAGCCAATCAACATCAACTCTGAAAACAAATATCATTTCGAAATGCAGAAAACATTTAGAAAACCAAACACATACACACACAAAATGATCATTAAGTTTAGTTAACGAAACCTTCTTTCATCTTCTCTAATGCAGTTAACATAGGCTTCCTCTTTGTCTTCCACAACCACTGTCAGAAAATGTCAAAACAGAAAAGTTAGAAAGCGATTAGAAAGTTGCAGGATCATGAAACAAATGATTCAGTGGAGGATATATACTAACAGTGCTAAGGCAATAAATGGCGCCTTTAATGATCAAAGAAACAACAACGAAGACAGTCTAGGCGATAATGCCAAAGACCACTCATTTGATTATACTTCGTTTTCTTCCCGTTCTCCCATTTCTATAATCAGATTCATTCACTTTCTTAATCCCAAATTCTCCAGTGGGTTTTGCAGAGTGCACTTGTTCGGTGACGAACGTTTCAAGTTTTAGAAACTCAAACAAAATGACATTCCTTGATTCTAGAACTTTAAAACTCAAACCTTTAATCTGAAAACCCATCGAGCTTTTTGTTTTTGAATTTATATCACATAATCAAACAATGAATCAGAAGAAACCAATGAGTCAAGTCACCAATATGAAACGAAGAATGCATCACGTTTCCCGGCTGGAAATGACTTTATGGAGCTTCACTAACATATTTCCAAAGGAAGATCACAAAAAACGAAAGAGCCAAACCCAAGGATGGCCAAGAAACCTCTTCCTGGAGCCATATTCTTTTGTGAAAGATCTCTCTCAATCCGCTCGTTCGAATGCTCTCAAACTTCACCAGAGGCCATAAAATATGAGGTTGGTCGATGGAATTTCAATACGGGTCGAGGAATTCTTCTTAGTTTGAGCTGTGGCCCATAGCACTACTCCGGTCAACCGAAATGTCCCATCTTGGCCAAAACGCATTCCGGAGTGAACCAAGCCCTGAAATTCAAAACTCACCGACCCATATCACATGAGGAAGTATTTCATTCACCAAACCGGCCCTGAGCTTCATGACCTAAGGTCATCACTTTGTATCCATCCAATCTCCCAACAGTCCAACACCAATGATTGTGGCAAAGATCTATCACAATCACACATCCGTTTGCTACAATCCCAAGGCTACTCCCACTATCGCCTTCCCTTAGGCCGCCCTTCAAGAGATTTTACCGTTGACGCATGGTACTTGATCATCTAATCCGGGATACAAGCTATTATTTGGAGTTCATTCAAATGCAGCATGGTAGAAGGTTTGGCAAGCTTATCTCAACTTATCAAAGGACCAGGACAGCCACATACCACCAATGGGTAGGTTTTTCATGAATTTAATGTCTAACCAGGTTACATCATTCTTCTCATTCACTCACACATTACTACCTCTTTCTTCCCTTAATCGGATTTGCTTTCACCGGGACGGTGAAAGTTAAGTCTGATGGGGTTGTCGGTACTAATGTGTTTGTTCATGCCTTGTCTTCATCTTATATCTTTTTTTCTCTTTTCTACCTTTTTCAAAACTTGTGTTTTATTGAGTCAAAATAAGTTAGGAAGCTGTGATCTATCTTAGGAGCTTACCTTATCACGCCAAAGCTCTTGTGATCATAAAGGCGAACATTGACACCGAACACGGCCTAACGGAACCTCTAAGGGTGGATCGACCTACTGATTTTCCAAGATTTCTAAGGTACCCGGACAATCTAAAGTTAACTCCACCACCTTAATGAACTTTAATTTTTCTTGTCAAGGGGCTTGAGACACATATGAGCCGACTCCTCATCTAGGTCTAGTTGAGACATGTCCGCAAAGAAAACAGTCAACCTCTCTCTCATCTGCAAAAGTAACTCAAAAGCTTTTAAGCACAAGGAAAACGTGTAAGCAAGAGGAATGCATACGTCTGCACCTTGTTGTCTTATGGAGACCTACTCAAACAAGGAAAAAAGAAAAAAGCCTATCCTATGTGTTCCCACAAAAGAACAGAAACAAAGGGAGAAGGACCAATAGAAAAAATAAAATGATACCCTAGAAAAGTAGGGAAAGATTGATCCTTCAAAAGAGATGAGAGAAAGAGAGAGGTTTGGAGCTGGTTGTGCTAAAAAGGACTTTCTTGGCAAACACTTGGATGGGTAAGAATCAATGCTCTGTGATCAATACTCCCTTGGTAAAGACTGCACATTTTAAATACTATAAGGAGTTAACTTTTTTTAACAACCTATAAGGAGTTAACAATAGAGAGTTTGGAATACTGAATGAGATTTGTTGGGTCCGGTATGGTTTTGCTCAAAATGAAAGCAGAGCAATGGTAGATACAAGTTCTAACGGATAAGTGAGTTTTCATGTTTTCAAAACTTCTTCACTAGTTTGGGGACAAGCAAAGATCTAAGTCTGAGGGAATTGATATACCTCTATTTTACATGCTTTTTATATGGTTTTACTATGCTTTTCATAAGGTTTTTAATGGCTTTCTGATCTAAAAAGGTATTTTTATGGATTTATAGTACTTAGAGTCTAAACAGGTCAAAAGATGCATTTTGGAGCAAAACACATGATTTGGACTTCAAGACCACTAGGAAGTAGCATCAACTTTAGAAGGGCCTTAAAAACATTCTACTCAATGGACTTCATCAAATCAGTTCAAAGCGGTGCATACATGAGTTAGCTTTGCAGCGCAACTGGAATCACTCAATTTGGCTCAGTAGATTGGGAGATATCTCTATTTCCCTGAGACATATACGAGAGAGCTTTATCGGACTGTATCAGTACATCAAACGAAAAGCAGCGGCTTGGACCTTTAAACTAAATGGATTTAAATGAAACACAACACCAAGATAGAAAGATGAGTTAGTGTTCCAATTCGTTGGAATTATGCAATTTGGGATAAGCAATGTAGAGATATCACGTTTGTACTGAAGACTGGTCCACAGCCGGCCGAACGCACTCGGCCGGACAGGAAAATTGGCTTCGCTCGGCCTTCTCCAGGACCGACCCGCACGTACGCACTGGCCAACCCGGGAGGAAATGGACCATGGTCGACCCAGATCATCACCTCAAGGCCGACCCCGACGGCCGACCACAATCATAGTACGGTTGACCCGAGCTCCGCGAATAAGAAGCCCAGTTATGCAGTTTGGACTATTCTCGGCCCGTTTCACCTCAACTGACTTGTGGAAGACCTAGGGCACTATAAATACTCTTTTTTAGCCTCTTTATAAGAGAGAGCCGCACAGGAGAATAGCCACAAGAGAGAGACGCACTAGGGAGTTTCCCTTAGAGGGATCCTCCATTGTTTTACTTCTTTCTCATTGTTTTCTTTAGGGAGAAGATCCCTTCTTTGTATCTCGACATAGAGAAGCTTTCTAAACCCTTTTCTCCTTATAATAATATGATTTCTTACTCTGATTTGTGCTTGTTTACTTGCACCATGATTGAGTAGATTTCTAGTTAGGTTATGGGTTTCAAAGAGTTCATGAATCATTAGGTTGCTAAATTCGAATTAGGGTTTATCATATAGATCTTCACCTTTTCTTAATCTCATTGTTGCCTGCTTTTCTGATCAACTAGCATCAGCTATTAGGTTTCATATACATTCCAAAAGCTTGCTATATAACCGGAACTAGTATTTGGTGAGCAACACTATATAGACTGCGACAGTTGATCTATGTGGGGTTGTGAACAATTGAGACTTGAACGAATTCATGCTTGCTTAACTGCCTAAGGACATACCAAAAGTTTAGCGATTAGGTTAGTTAACAAAGAGGTCGGAGCCACAACAGTGGAATGATCTTACATCTGTGTTTTGAGTTCTAGATGGCGCATTCAAACCCCCTAATGAATTTGATTGCATAACTTGATATTCTTGAATCTCAGGGAGCTTGCCCATTGCCTAGCCTATTTCCCACATTGAACTTACACCGTTTTACCTTGCTTTCAATTAGTTAGTTATTTTGCATACCAAAACCATAATCTATCCTCTTGTCCTAGCTAAGTTAAACTCGCATAGCTTGTAGTGCACTTATCTGCTCCTTGTGTTCGATAACCCGTTACTACACCTAACTTGTGAACTTGCAGAATCATGGATAGGAATAGGTAAAACCTGATCCCGCATCATTTCCCACTTTTTTAATACCAACAGAGTAGTCATCGAGCAGAGAGAAGAGACCGCTGCTGCACACCATACCCTGCTCTAATATATAATATATTGAAAAGAGTATGGTGGGAACTCTAAGAGTCTAAGGTATTAGGCTTCAAAGCTTCACAGTTAAATTCCTCATAATGCATTGCACAAGATGTATACCATATAATCCAGGGCTATTCACTGTGTTTGAGGAGCCATTGAGGCGATAGGGGAGAAATGTTATGTGGTAGAAAGCAAAAAACACACCTCATATTACGGACCTAAAAGTGCACTCAAAGAAGCTTAAAATTAGTCCATGTCCGAAATCCTTGAAGACCCTAACAGCTCAAAAATTATCCTATCTGACTCGACATAATCAACTTAACTATTGGAGCAGCAAAAATTAAGGATAAATCTATTTGTAGAAAAGTAAATTGGATATTTAACTACTGAATTCAAACCAAAGGTAAAAAAATTTGCTTGGCGCGGGGTTCGATCCCTAGTTTCAACAATTAGATTTTCTATATCATTTAAAAGGTTTCTCGAGTTAAAAAAACCAAAAATATCTTTGATCTCGGCCTTCCAAAGAATAATGATTGCTGCGATGATTAGTCGCAACGGCTGCTGAGGAGCGTTTGAATCAGAGACAACCAATTTTCTAAAATTAAAGCTTAAAAAACTAGACCATCTCTAATGGTTGCGTTCTTCTATAAATTGTGGTATGAAAAATTCAATTTTGAATGTTCGTACATTAATACAAAAATTTGGAATAAGTTATGTATTCTTTAGAAGCTAAATAGTTCGTGTATTTTTCGAAGAAAATCTTATATATATTGGGGGAGGAAAGAGTTTTTTCTCCATATAGAGTGTACACATCAGCCCCAAAATTATTAAATTTTATTTAAGATATTTATTTAATACATGTCTATTCATATTTTTTATATATATTCAAATTAAAAACATAAAACAAATTGAAAAATACACAAAATAATTAATTAAAAATAGTAAGTGTGTGATACTTGGAATTAAAAATTAATGAACATTGTAGTATTAATTGGAGAAAAAGTAAATATATATTTTTTTACTTGAAACAGTATATATTTAATTATTACCTTATAAATGTGTTTATCTTCTTAATTATTTGTAAGAGACTAGGTTTTTGACCCGCGCATTCTAATGAAATTTTAAATTCTTATATTTAATTTTTTGTTTTCAAACGATTCACATTTTTTTATTTTTTGCTGTGTATTTTGTTTTATAAAATTTTCTTTGTAATATACATTTTAATTATTTTCTTACCCAACCAATTTAATTATTTTATAATTAGTCATAAAAAGTAAGATACTTTTTAAAAACATACAACAGCCCTATCCTCACATTTCTTAAATTAATCCCTTAATTTACTGTTCATTAGATACTTTAAAAAAAAATTATATCCATTAAAGGTCTCATCCGGCAAGCTTTTGTACAATCCAATATTAGTCTAATATATATTTTAGTTGTTAATTTCATTTCTAATTTTATTTATTAGTTTAACTTTTCCAGCTCTGAGTTTATGATTTTTACTTAATTTATTTATTTACCTCCTCTATTCTCAAATAAGTGTCCTTTTAGAGAAAAATTTTTGCTCACAAATAAAAGTCTTTCTCACAAATCAATGCAAAAAATTATTGTATTTTTGTTTTTTTGACTATCTGAATTCTGCAGATTGATTTTCTAATTGGTTAAATTGTTTTGGGAATAATAATAAAACATGTTTTGTTTTGAAAAAAACAAAAACTACTTGATTTCTTAATCTGTGTGCACAACCCTAAAATGCCACTTATTAGAGAACAGAGGGAGTATTCTTTTATTTTAATTATTTTGCATTCAATTCCATTTAATAAATTCATCTATTTATTTTTAAATCACTTTTTTGATCGTTAAAAAGTCTCATATATTCCAATTTCTTTTCAGTATTCTGTTTAATTAATAACCATGTTTGCAATTCCCGGTTCCATTGTTTTGGTTTTTTACGGTTCGGTTTTGCTATCACACAAAATCGAACAATGTTTCTATTTGGTTAAAAATGATTTTCTATTACGTTCCCGATCTAGAAATGATTCGTTGTTTTTCTTCATTTGCCGACAACAAAATCGAACAATGTTTCTACCTTATTCTCACCAGAACATTGTTAATCTCATCATCTAGATCCCTCTTCTTTGTTTCTTATCTTGGTTATTTGACTTAATACCTCTGAGCGATTGAGACCTGGCCAGTATCAGGAACGCACCAATTTGTTATGAACCCAAACCCTAACTCTTCTTTTTATTGATAATAGATAACGATTACAATAGATATAAGATAGAAAGCACTAGATAGATAGATAGAAAGCACTCAAGATCTCATAACGATCTCATTCAAGAACTCTCAAGATCTCATAGCGATCTTGTTCGACAGACTCATGGCGTCTAGGTCGTTATTCAATTCAATATATTGCATAACTAGTAGAAAGACCAAAACCAATATATTTATACTAAAGCTATGTCAAAGACTTTCCTTTTTCTTAAGGAAGTTTTTGTAAATCTTCTTTTTCCTTTTCTCTCGACAAAGGCGGTGGTTAAGTTTGCTTGGGCCTATCAACGAGGACCTATATCGACAGAATTTTTTTTTGGCTATGATCCAATCAACAAACAATTCAAAGTGTTGCGTTCAGTTTATGGATCACGTGATACTCATTGCGTTTTGACATTGAGGAGTACTGGAAAAAGATTCGTGGAGATATATTCAATTCAATCCTCATTATTCTTGTGTTGGTGGAATACGCATAGATGGTGAAATATGCATAAATGGTCTTTTGTATTATGGAGCTCAAGTTGAAGAATCTAAATGCATCATAGTTTCCTTTGACTTTTTATCTGAGAAGTTTGGCTATATTAAGATAGATAATGAAATGTTACGCGGGACTCTGTGTAAGTGTATATGCTGACTGGTTTGAGAAGATACTAAACAGGATGTGCTACAGCTTAAGGCAGTACTTGTTGCAAGTGCTGATGCAGTGTTGATCGAGTAGATGCAGTTGACTGAAGCACTTAGCGTATCCGTCACGAAGTAGTACAGAGAGTCGTGTTCAGCAAAAGGGCTTAAGGAATCGATCTGATGGGCTGGACATTTGCTTGTAGCTGATGAGGACGAGTCTAGAAGATTCTAGAAGAGTCAAGAGCTGAGTTGGACGAAGATATTAGCAGCTATCAAGCAAGTAGGAATATTTCCTTTTCCTAGAGAAAAATAAGGAAAGAAATATTCTCTTGGAGATTTGGAGTGGTCACCAAGGGAGAAACCTTGTAGGGTTTCAAGGCGTGCCTATTGTGGATAAATAGGGCGTGGAGAGCATTGGATGTGCTTAACCCATACACAACGAAAAGATGCCTTAGCGAAAGGCTTTGGGGTCCTATGAAGATCGCAGCCGTTGAGAGGTTCTACAATCGTGGATAGATCTAGAACATGGCGGTGTTGCTCCGGTGCTGCCGGATGATAGTCAATCATGCGGGGTTGATATCTATCTTCATAGCTTATCCATCTAGAAAAGAATGGTAGGCATTGTAGTGCTGGATACCATATACAATTGTAATTGTACTCTTGTTCTAGTGGATTTGATCTGGACTAGGTCCCGGGGATGTAGGAAACGAACCTCGTTAAAAAACTCTATGTGTTATTTACATTATCCTCGTACACATGCTCATTACACACTCGAACACATGAACGTATAGACCTAGCCGCATTTTCACTCTGATCAACTACAAAGGTAGATTAGGGGTATTAGTAAGAAATCGGTGTGAAGTTGTGTTGTGGCTTCTAGAAGAAGATGCTGGAAACCATAAGTGGTGAAAACGAATAAGCGTACCGTTAAGCTTATACGACGAGAACGGGAATTATCTTTACATTGTTGGAATGACCGGTGCAGGTGAAATTGTGTTAACGCCCCATCGATTTAAACCTTTCTACATTGTCTACTACAATATCGAGAGGAAGACATTTACAAGAGTCAATATTCAAGGATATGAAGAGCTTAATAAGGTTCCAAATTCCACTCATCGCATCTTTCTAGACTATGTAGAGAATATGAAGCTTTTGTAACTGTGTGTTCAACCGCCTCAGACCTCTTTATGATATTGTTTCTCTTAAGATTTGTATCGATTTCATAATACAGTTAAGTTTTTGTTCTAAATTCCCAAAACATGATCATCTTACTTATCAATGTGCTTTGTCTTATGAAGATTTAAAAGCTCTCTCTTGTTTATTGTCTTTTAGTTTGATTAATTAGCTAGTGTTTCTATTAACTGGAGTCCTATTCGTATAGTATGATCTGCTTCTTGGCAAGTCGATCGGCAATATATATATATATATATATGCATGTTGTATATTGCTTTCCCTTTACGTAGAACGTGATCTCTGGCGTTCAAATCCTCTTCTTTTCATAATTCAAATCTCTTGTAGATGAAATTATAATACTCTTGTTCTTCAGCTGTTATATATATCTGCTATTCTTTCTCGTATGTAAAGAACCAGAAGGGTTTCGAAAGTAAAAAAATACTCAAAACCTTGTGTCAGTAGTTCTGATAGTTAAAGAAAACATCAGAAAATAGATCAGCCAGCAAGTCTAGAATTGCAGGAGATAAGTAATGAATTTGATGGTTCCAGAGATCCAGATCATCAACAACATCTTTTCATTTGAAAAAAAGAACCTTTGCTATGTAATGTGTCACCGTTTGGAGATTATCAAGACCAGCATTTGTTGTGAATGTGTACTAAGTTGGGTCATTATTCAAACTAGGTTTGAAGCCCCGCGGTTGTTTGCGATAGTTTTTCTGTTTTGTGTTAGCTTTCATGTTTTTATTATATTTTGAGTTAATCCAACCACTAGCACTAAAAAAATATGAATAATTGGTTTTTTATTTACTTTTATTAGGATGTTAACATCTCATTTTATTTCGAATTTTCTATTTCTAAAATTTTAGAATGTTATAAATATTAGGTTTGTTTAATTATATTAGACTATAAACATGCATATGCATTTGACTAAATATTAAAATTTGTAAACATAATGTAAAATCGCATTTGCACCCGCAATAAGATGTATACTTTTTTATATATCTACTTTGTTGTGGTAGCATCTGAGCCTCATGACCATTGATTAATTTATTTTATGTTAGTTTGGTAAATATAAATTATATTTTTAGAACAAACATATTACAATCCTTAAAATCTTCATGTTATTCACTGCAATTAAATTTACATATAAAAACTCGACTTCTATTTATTTTTAAAAACAAACTCTAATTCTAATTTCTCATTAGCTTTCTATTATCTTAATTAATTTATATTCAACTTTTTAACTTCTAAACATATTATAACATTTTTAAATAGGATAAATCCTTTGAATTTAAAAATAAATATATACTATTTCAAGTAAAACATTTCTTTAATTTTATATTCCAAATTTTGGATAACTTTTAACATCAAGCTATCATATACTTTATATTAATTAATTTATTTATTTGTGTATTTTTCATAGTTTTATTTAAACTTAGTTTTTTCCCATACATTTATTTTTGTGTATGTTCCGTATATTTTCTGTGGGCCACCCGTAATTGATCAATTTTTCTTGAACTTTTGTAATAACCCAATAGATATATCTTTTTTTTTTATATAGTTTTTTGACTGATAACATCAACATAATTTGTGTTTACGAAAAATAGTACGATTTTAATATATTTTAAAATAAAAAGAAGAAAAAATTAAGCAAAATATAAGTAAAATATAAGTAATGAGAGATAATTAGCTCGGTTTTTTGTCATCAACGGTTGGATCCCATAGGTTTAATTTATTTTTGTTCCTTATATTTTCTGTGAGCCACATGTACTTGTTTCTGCATACTGTGATAAAAAAATTGATCATTTTTTCTTTATGGAAATGAACTATTATAATAACCCAAAAGATATATCAATAATTTGAGTTTTTTTGTCTTTCAACTGATAACATAAAAATTATTTTTTTTTTACAAAAAAATTACGATTTTAGTGTATTTTAAAACAAAAAGAAACAAAAAATTAAGCTAAATATAAGTAATGAGCACATACCAAAGAAGGTCTAGGATCCTCTCATTGGTCTTCCAATTGTTCAGATCAGTTCATATTTGCCTCAGACGCATATAGTAGTTTAAGAGATCTATAGAAGCTGAATCCAAAAGGATTGTTGTCATGCCTAGAGATCTATAACTAAAGAAGAAGATGATTAAAGGAGATAAATGCCTAGCGTTTCAAATCCTCTATATATTAAAGAGATAAATGCCTAGCGTTTCAAATCCTCTATATATTAAAGAAGAAACATTGAAGACCATTTTTGTTGATGTGTTATTCCTACAATTTTTCTCAATCTTTTTATTTTTGATTTATTTAATTCTCTTATATTCATTGTCAAACATAACTATTTGTATCATTATCAATTTTGATTACTCTAGTTCCTCTAACCAAACATATTTAAATCTTTCTAAACTGACCAAAATAATTATTTCAAAAATCCTCTATATATTAAAGGAGGAACATTGAAGACCATTTTTGCTGATGTATCACTCCCACAATTTTTCCCAGCCTTTTTTTTTAATTATTTTATATTCATTGCCAAACATAACTATTTGTATCATTATCTATTTTGATTACTCTAATTTCTCGAACCAAACATATTTATATCTTTCTAAACTTACCAAAAATAATTATTTCAAAAATCTAATGTTAAATGTTACAGTTAAATTCGTTTTTCTTTGTACTTTAAAAATCAGTAAACATGTAAAATATTTAATTACATTATACAGATTACATATCAAATTAAAGACATTATATTAAAATTTATATGATAATGCATATGATTTATTTGTTATTGAACTAAAAAATAAAACTGTTTATTTGAAATTATTTAATATGTGAAACACATTTTTATTCAAATTTAAATATACATAAACAAATTTTGGATTTCATATATTAATTCTTGCTATGTTGATTTTTGAACTTAATCTATAAATTATTGTTTATAATTATATTACGAGTGAACCACATTACTTACAAAACAATATCAGAATATACACAAGTAAATTTCAGGTTCTCCATCAAATAATTAAAATATTTTTTTTTTAACTAAAACTGTATTGATTTAATTTTACTTTCTTATCATTTCATCTTGTGTATGATGCGGGCATTATTCTAGTAAGAAATAATATCGATATTTCAGAACATAGCAAAGCCAAATTCTCAGTAGGGTTTCACATTCAATTTTCTATTATGTGTATAGCCAGTTAAAAATCATGGTTCAAATTATGGGTTTAAGTTCATTTATTTGGAAGATCTCAAACATTTCTTCCAAAGGACGAGGCTATGAAGACTCTAAAACTCTTCAGAAGAAGATATGACGATAATGAGAACATCACAATCAACTGTTTTATTTCTACAAGAATGGATGGTATATATTCATGATAGCATTGAACATTCAATGATAGCCTATACACCATGCCATAAATCTCTCCTTGAAGATTTCAAATGTGCTTCCTCGCCACAAGCAAGGAGGGATCTTTGGCGTGGAAGGATATTCTCGAGCAACTGGAAACACTGGAGTCTGCATCGCGACTTCTGGACCGGGAGCTACAAACTTTGTTACTGGTTTACAGGATGCCATACTCGACAGCGTGGTAATTGTTGCTATAACCGGCCAAGTCCCACTGAAATTGATTGGGACCGAATGTTTTCAGGAAACTCCCGTCATTGACATAACAAAACAGATTACAAAGCATAACTATAGGGTCAGCGACGTGTAAGATATTGCAAGAGTCGTACAAGAAGCCTTCTACTTAGCTCGGTTTTTCGTCTTCAACGGTTGGATCTCATACATTTATTTTTGCTCTTGTTTCATATATTTTCTGTATGGCCACCCGCACTTGTTTCTGCATACTATGATAAAAACAAGTTGATCAATTTTTCTCTATGGAAGAACTTTTGTAATAACTCAATACATAATTCAATTATTTAAATTTTTGGTCTTCAATTGATAACATCAATATAAGTTATGTTTTACAAAATTTATGATGATTATTATATTTTTTAAACGAAAAAAAAAAACAAAATTAAGCAAAATATAAGCAAAAAGGATGGAATTTCAGGCAAAATGTGGGAGGACAGAAGATCAATCTGGAAACGTAAGGATTCAGCAAGTAACTCAAAACTCAGGATTAAGGAGCTCCAGCAAACTCTGGATCTAGAATCATCGAAATTGCATCTGGATGCCCAGAAAATCAACAACAACGACTCATCCACTTGAATCGTCTTCCTTCTTTGCCTCCAAAATGTTCTACACACTTTTTTGATAACAGAGTACAAGTTTCTATTATTGGATCGGTTCATCAAGAAATAGATTTTATTTACATTCGAAAAAGAACAAAAAAGAAAGTCCTCAGTTTTTTCTTTTTTTTTTTTGGTACGAATCTTAAGAAAGTCCTCAGCTTTGAATAGTCCAAAATTTTTATAATCAAACGGAAGACATTTTACAGAGTCGGCTAGGTGTTGGCCGGAAATTCAACCACCGGAGATTCATCCGCCGGATCGGAGGCGTCAAAGCCCTCCGCAACACTTCTCTGCTTCCATCACTCGCTCCTCTCCTCTTAAGCTTCTCATCGCTTGGCACCATAAACCCGTGACGTAGGCACTTGGCAGAACCAGGCCGTCCGGAGCACGTGCAAGCAGCTCGAACTCTCAAACCCGACCCGTGACTCCTCCGTCTGACCCGGTTCGTATCGGATCTTTGACGCATCTCTACACCTTCTCCTGATGGGATCCTTCTTACAACCTGCATATTTGGTTGATGCTCTCTCTTACTTGAGAATTTTTCTTGTGTGTGAGTGAATGAGTTTTCTTCTTTCTTTATATATTGTGTGGAATTGGAAGAAGAGAAGTGAACAACCATTGACGTGTTAACATATTTTCTGTAGTGGAGAGGTTGGTCTTGTTTTCAAATACTGAATGCTATGGATGATTTGTCAAAGTTTGAGTGTTTGACCAAATCCAACTCACCCACACAGGTCAACGCCGAATCTTTTGAAGAACAAAATGTGAGAAAATTTTATGCTAAAGAAGCATGCTTTTTGCCGAACTAGGGTATGAAGGGGTTGTTTGCAATTTTTTTTTGTTTAATGTTTTTATTATTAGTTTAGTTGAATTATGGTGGTTTTGTGTTAACCTTTATTGGTTATTTTTGAGTTAATCCAACCGATCCTATGAAAGATATTCAATATGGTGTATTGGTGTTTTATTAAGGTGTTAGTTCTATATTTCATCTCAGCCTTTTTTTGCTAAAAATTCAACATCTTTAAATAGTTCACTTGTTCAGTTTCATTAAACTATAAGTTAGTATTTGACTCGAAGAAATAATTTTTACACATGGTGAAGAATCACATTTTGACTCGAAATATGGTAAAAGACATATTTGCTTTTTTTTGGATAACATTTGAGCATGATGACCATTGATTCTTTTATACAATTTAAACTTTGTAAATTTAAATTGATTTTTTAAACAGACATATCATAATCCTTAGAATTTTCTAGCTCTTGTTTCCAATTTCACATTAGATTCTCCATAATAATTTATCTCAGTTTATGATGGTTTATAAACATTAAAATCATCGATGGTAACCATAGACGGAAAACTTGAGACGGCTGTAGTAACATGTGAAAGCATAAGGAGCCTCCAGAGTGCAGCTTGAACGTTTCATTATCACTAAAATCCTCCAATGGGTGAATAACAATACATCCTGCTTTAAATCGATATCTCTCATCAATCACGATAATTGGGTCCTCAAGAGCATGTTAGTGAACACCAATCTTCAAACAGAGTACATGTGTTCACCAAGAACCAGGCAGCCGATTCAAGCATATTGAGTAATCCTGTGTTGCTGAGAGAATGAATGATGCCATCCCCACTGCACACTGAATCTCTTGCAAGAAGGAGAAAATCACCATCCCTGATAAGAGTGATGTCGTCAATTTCAGCTCCTTCTCTCGTACGTACTTTACTTGGGACGAAACCCATCTTGGATAGACAAAGACGCAATGTTTGCAAACTATTAACTAAATTATATTCTATATTTTATAACTCGTAAACACATTATAATATTCTTAAGAAAATAAATTCTCTATATAAATTTTACCTTTCGAGTAATCTATACTATATAAAAGTTGAGGTTATAAGCTTCTGAGAGCGTCCACATCAGCTTTTAAGAAACCAATTAAATTTCGCCAAATCAGCATTTTAATTTTAAAATCGAAAATTAAATAATCTTTTGAGAAAAATTACATTATTGATTAAAGAATGGAAATTGTACTATTTTGAATTTTGATACTTACATTACGACACCAGTTAATACCTTAACATTATTTTAAAGAATGGAAATTGTACTATATAAACCAGTTAATTAAATAAAAGAGAGTTAAACTAACAAAAGAACATATTATTGGAAAAGTTAAACTAACTAATTAAAACAAAAAGGAAATTATCAATTTAGCTTTTCAATGTTTGGCATTGGCTATAAATAGTCCTCTAAACTTTAGAATACACAAGAGTTCTAAAGACAACCATATTCTTCAGAGAGAGAGAGTTTATTAAAATAGCTATGTCTTTTCCAGCTCTTCTGTTTCTGATCAGTTACGGCGTCCTTTTGTTTTCGATGAACTCACTAAGGATTTTGTAAGAAAGAGCTGCTTGCTAGAGTCATCCACTTCTGGGAGGCAAGGAACCCTAAAAAAGGAGGTCTGCTTATGGGATATGAACTGCTTCTAATCGATCAAAAGGTAACGACACCAACATTATTTACCAATTACCAATAGAAAGTTAAATCATCATCAGCTTATAATACTCTTTTCTACCATAATTTAATACAGGGAACTACAATCCAAGCATTCATACCAGCTTATCGACTAGAAGACTATGAGGAAAAATTAAAGCTGGTGAAGTTTACAAGTTTAATAGCTTTTTGGTCATCAGAACTATTAATCCTAGGTGAAGACATGCTTCACAGAAAACGCAAGACTTTCAACTTTCCAAGCCTACGTATAAATGAAAATCAGCTAAAGCAATACACTTTGATGGAGATAGAGAAACTTATGAACCAGCATGGACGATCAATAGCTGAGTTCAAAGACATGCCGTGCTATAATAGATAGACTAGATCTAATGTTCGATTAAAAGACTATTATCTAATGCTTATCCTTTTACTTTTTATCTAAAGACTATTATCTAATGTTGCTAAGTACTTGGTGGAACAGAGAGAAAGTTTACCAACCTTGACAATCTCTGGCTGTGATTCAAACTTTTGTTTCAAGAAATACTCCACAGCTTTCACATCATCATATGCTACTCTCTCGACCTTATTAACTTCCAACGTATCATCAATGCTAAACACAGCGAATATGAATTGCAAGTAGACATCACCATCTTTTGAAAAGCATGGAACTTCGGTGACTTGAGGGACTTTTGAAAGATACAGAGGCAATTTAATCTACCAAATATATAAAAAAAAAACAAGAGCATTAGACAACTAAAGAACTCGCAAATACTTAGTCAACACAAAAATGAAAAGAACAAAATCATAAATTAGATAATAAACATTCACTTGGGTGAGAAACAAGTACCCGACAAGTACTCGGAAATTGATAAAAGAAAACTCGCTCATGGAAGAGGCAAAGTCATTAGCTTTACCCCAATAACGTCCATCGAAAGGCGACAATTTTGAAAAATTAGACATCTCTGAGTCTCTGGAACTTGGCGGAGCAGTTGGCATCACCTAGAGTTATAGATTTATCACAAATTTGGATCGGAAGAAATAGATTAAACGCTAAACACATAATCTCAACATCAACAAAACTGGCTTCAAAATAAGGAAAATTCAAACCTTTCACGAAGTGATTAGCTTGAGAGAATCAGTAGAAGAAACAGAGAAATAAAGTCTCGGAAGAGGGATTAAAGCAGAAACTGTTCACTCAATCATTTAGTTCGGACAGAACGTGATTGAAGCTTCAGATTTGCAGCGATAATGACGGTTAAGGAGTGTGAAGAATGGATTCTACAGCTTGAGGGCTCCTTGGGAGAAGTACATAGAGAGGTCTCAGAAATCAAGGCTGGTTGTGAGAGCATGTCATCACGGCTTGGAGCGTTGGAGTCACAGATGACATCGTTTGCTCAAATCCTTTCACGCATCGAAGCTAATACTTCTTCAGGACAGGGACAAACGAGCGGCAATAAATCATCATCGCTTGATTCACCTGAGGTAAATCATCCTCTTCTTGACTTGGAAGCTAAATCGATGGCTTGTCAAGGAATCTCGGGTGCTTTAGCAAATCGTGAGAGTATGCTAAGGAAGATTGATATGCTTGTGTTTGATGGCCGATTACCGTACGGTTGGATTGCTCGTGTCGAGAGGTTCTTTCGGTTGGGACAATATTCAGAGGAAGACAAGCTTGGATTGGTTTCTCTTTGCTTAGATGGGGCTGTTTTAAATTGGTTCAATGGAGAAGTTGCTCACGCACTCTTCCATAACTGGGATCAATTTAAGCAAAGACTCTTACTGAGATTTACTCCAGCCATTGAGGACGAGCCCAGAAAACGTTTATTGTGCTTAAAGAAAACAGGAGATATCTCTGAGTATATCAATGAGTTTGAGGAATTATCTACTCAAGTAACTGGTCTCACTGAAGCAACATTGACAAACGCCTTCTATAATGGCTTGAAACCAGAGATGAAAGAAGTTATCAAGCTCAAAGACCCTCACGGGTTAACCAATCACAAGGCAGCTGTAATGAAGATGCAAACTTCTGTGTTTTGTCAGGTAATGGGAGAGCCTAAATCGCATACCAATTTTCAAACTTTCAAGTCTACTACAAGTTTTCAGCCACAGAAATCTTTTCCAAGTCACAACAACCGTGCTGGTACTATGCTGGAAGTCAATACAGGAGGTTCTAAACCACTGGATACTGGCCAGAATAGCTCACACATTCCGTTACGTCCACGGCAACAACACTGATGCAGAACTTGATGATATGAGGAGAAACAATATTTGTTTCAAGTGTAAAGGACCATTCTATAAGGGTCACCCTTGTTCAAAAAGAGAGCTCCAAGTGCTTACTGTTATTAATGGTCTTGCAATGGAGGTTTTGGATCAAGAGACAAATGGAAGCGCAGACGAGAAGCATGAACTAATTGGAGATTTGATGGAGTTTTCATCTCATTACGCTTGAGGACAAGTTGGGTCTTCGGAAGGGGGGTATTGATAGAGGCCCAAGCAAACTTAACAACCGCCTTTGTCGAGAGAAAAGGAAAAAGAAGATTTACAAAAATTTCCTTAAGAAAAAGGAAAGTCTTTTACATAGCTTTAGTATAAATATATTGGTTTTGGTATTTCTACTAGTTATGCAATATATTGAATTGAATAACGACCTAGACGCCATGAGTCTGTCGAACAAGATCGCTATGAGATCTTGAGAGTGCTTGAATGAGATCGTTATGAGATCTTGAGTGCTTTCTATCTATCTATCTAGTGCTTTCTATCTTATATCTATTGTAATCGTTATCTATTATCAATAAGAAGAAGAGTTAGGGTTTGGGTTCATAACACTCGTCTTCACTTCGGGTAAGGTTATGGACTCTCCGGTGACGGGGTTACACACCAGTGCGTCTCCACGAAGAAGTAATAATCCATAGAGAGGTGGTGTGATGCGAGATGGAAATGTTTTGGGAAAACGCTTGTAACGGGTGGCTAAAAGAGTGGAGTTCTCAGCTGGATTTTGAGGTTGAGGTGAAGAGAAGAATAATAACTCTTTACCAACTTGGATGGCGAACAAGAGCCTTGGACGAGCTAAAGACTTGGTGAGGAACAGCTCAGTGAAACCAGGAAGGCTAGGTATAGATGCCCAGAGTTTAGATACACAACGAAACCTAGCTATTGACTTTCCAAGGAGTCGAAAGAATATATCTATAAGGATATCAGATGGGATTGTGTCTGAGTATTCTCGTACTGAGTTCGAAGATTTCGGGGTCAATAATAGATCATGCTGCTCCAGATTTTCCATGGCAGCAGTTTGAAACCCTAGAGTCACTTTCAAACCTAGATATCGACTTCGACGGTTTGCTTCTTCTTTTCTCAGATTTTAAACTGACTTATTGGATACTGAATTTTAATGGATTTGGATTTGGATTTGGATTTGGTTGTAGTTTGTTGGGTTTTAATTGATTATCACATCCATAATGGATTTTAACATATTACTAGTAGAGGACCCGCGCAAACGCGCGGTGTGACGCTGCGGTTTTGTGAAAAAAATCTAAATCCTAAACTCGAAAACCCTAATCAAAATTTTAAAAAACCTAAACCTTTATAATATGTCTAAACCCGAAATCCAAAAAATCCTGAAAACCCTGAACCAAAAAAACAACTCGAAACTTTTACAACCGAAACCCGAACCCGACCTAAAAACCCTAATAAAATCTTTAAAATACCGATATTTTTTTAATATGTCTAAACCCGAAAACCCAAAATCCAAAAAATCCGGAAAACTCTGAACTAAGAGCATCTCCATCGGTTTATACCGTAGTTTGAGTCTCTCACATATATTTATTTTAAAAGATAATTAATTTTTTTTTTTAAAAAAGAAGCCAGCCAATAATATAATGCCACCTTTGACTATAGTCTCTCATTCTCTTTGATACCGTCTCGTTATCACACTTTTCCAAATTCTCTTTCCTCCTTTTTCATTTATTTTTATTTTTTTAATGGATAGAGATTATGTGAGAGACGCCCGCTGGAGATGCTCTAAACCCAAAAAAAACTCGAACCCAAACCAAACATAATTTTTCAAAAAAAACCGAACGGAAATCCACAATTTGATATAAATTAGACGTATTTCTATTTCACTATTGGAAATTTTGCAAATATCATTCGATCATATTCTATTGATTTGGTATTATCGATAGATTATGTTAAAAAAAAATTTTGCAGATTTTGAAGAGCTGGAAAACAGAAGTTTTCTTAACCATCAGTTTGTTTTAAGTTATTATTCTTGTATCCAAACAATTTTTTTCCATTTATTCTTCTATCCAAATAATTTTTTCTCTTGTTCTTATATCCAAACAACTTTTTTCCATTTATTCTTCTATCCAAATAGATGTTTCTCTAATTCTTGTATCCAACTAGAGTACCCGCACGTTTGTGCGGTGTGACGTTGTTGTTTTGTGTAGAAAATTTAAACCCTAAATCCGAACCCGACAAAAAACCCTAATCAAAAAATTTAAAAACCCAAACTTTTTTAATAGGTCTAAACATGAAAATCCGAAATCAAAAAAATCCCGAAAACCCTGACTGAACAAAAAAAATCTGGAAACTTTTTCACCCGGAACCCGACCCCAATACCTAATCAAAATTTTAAAATACTCAATTTTTTTAATATATCTAAACCCGAAAACCAGAAATCTAAAAAATCCGGAAAACCCTAAACTGAAAAAAAAAATTGAACCTAACCCGAACAGAAATTTTCAAAGAAACCCGAACAATTTCTATATCTCTATATATATCTCTATAAAATTATGTCTCAGATTTTCACCCAAACCCGAACTTGTCTATAAAAACCCGAAAATCCAAAAAGCATATTCTATTGATTTGGAATTATCGTTAGATTATGTTAAGTTTTTTTTTTGCAGATTTTTAAGAGATGGAAAACGGAAGTTTTCTAAACCATCGGTTTATTTTAAGTTATTATTCTTGTATCCAAACAATTTTTTCCATTTATTCTTCTATCCAAATAGATTTTTCTCTTATTCTTATATCCAAACAACTTTTGTTTCCATTTATTCTTCTATCCAAATAGATGTTTCTCTAATTCTTGTATCCAAACATTAGAATGTACTTCTCAATTAATAATATAAAGATAAAGATTGTAATATGTTTTGATTAATTTCTATGGATTTCTAAAACTGTTAAAAACACTAAACAGTTTAAAAATCAGCCATTTGTTCATTTATTAACTAAGATATTAAAGTTTGATTAGTAAAGGATTTTTTTTTAATAAAAATATTCCAAATTGAGAAGATTTGGTATAGTGTGTACACGTTAAGAGTTTGTGAAATATACTATTCTGCTGGATGAGTATTATTTTCTGGATTAGATAGATCTTGAGCAAAGTTATTAATTGTTTGGTTTTCTTAAAAACAAGCTTTGAGGAAGTGCATGTCCCCTTCTGTGCTCTACTAGGCCCAAAACTTTAATCATCCGGTTTTTGTTTTGTCCACTTGAGTACCAATGAGTAAAACGTACCTTGAACAACAAGTTATTCTAGGTTCTCTGTTGATTCCATGAATCGGTTTGATTTTGAGTCGGCGGTTTAACTATAAAGACAAAGCAAATTCGAAAGCCAATAGAAAAAGAATTGCCAAACTAATCATGTATTCATGTGTTAAGAATTTAGAACAAAAAAACTCAACGGTATTATAACGTTAATAATTGAAATCGATAAAATCTCAAGAGAAACAAATATCATAAAGAGGTCTCAAAGTAATGAAGCGGTTGAACACACAGTTACAAAAGCATCATATTATCAACATAGTCTAGAAAGATGCGAGGACTGTAATTTGGATCCTTATTAAGCTCTTCAAATCCTTGAATATTGACTCTTGTAAATGTCTTCTTCTCGATATTGTAGTAGATAGTGCCGGCCCAATATATTATGGCGCCTAAAGCCTATTAATTTTTTTAGCCCATTAAAATAAAAATCAACAAGATTCCCACTATGCTACTACTAACTTTTACTAATCTGGCGCCCCTAAATCTTTATTAACTTTTGGCGCCTAAAGCACAATGTTTTATGGACTTTAGGTCAGGGCCGGCCCTGGTAGTAGACAATGTAGAAAGGGTTTGTACCACGGTGCGGCGATAACACAATTTCACCTGCACCGGTCGTCCATCCAACAAAGTAAAGATAATTCCTTAACGGTGCGCTTATTGTTTTGCACCATATATGGTTTCCAGCATCTTCGTCTAAAACCCACAACACAATTTGATGACCATCTTTTACTAATACCCCTAAGTTACCTTTGTAGTTGATCAAAATCCCATGTGGAATTCCTTCATGCAACTTGATACTCATGAACTTCTCAGAGCTAAAGTCAAAGCAAACTATCATACAAGATCTTCCAACGTAAGCTCCGTAATACAAAACACCATTTATGCATGTATCACCATTTATGCGTAATCCACTACGTAAAGAATAACGGAGATTGCATTCAATCGATCTCCACAAACGTTTTCCAGTAGTACTCCTCAATGTCGAAACCCAATGATTATCAGGTTCTCCATACATGGTACACAACACTTTGAATTGTTTGTTGATTGGATCATAGCCAAAGAAACATTTTTTTAAACCTGTAGATTTCACTTTGGGTAAGGCTACGGACTCTCTTTCTCCAGTGAGAGGGTTATAAATCACCCACACCTCGCTTTCCCATTCACGAAGACAGACCAATCCACCGAGAGATAGTCTGATGTCAGATGGAATGTAATTGGGAAAACACTTATTATAACGGGTGTCTACAAGAGTGGAGCTCTCAAGTACTGGATTATGAGGTTGAGGTGAAGAGAAGAAGAATAACTCTTTATCAACTTTTACGCCAAACAAGAGACGGGACGAGATACAGATTTGGTGTGGAACAGCTCAGTGAAACCAGGAAGGCTAGGTATGGATGCCCATAATTTAGATACGCAACGAAACCTAGCTATTGACTTTGCAGGGACTCGAGAGAATATATCTATGAAGATATCAGATGGGATTGGTTCTGAGTATTCTCTTACCGAGTTTGAAGATTGTGTGGCCAATACTAGATCATGCTGCCTCCATATTTTTCATGGCAGCTGTTTCAAACCCTAGAGTCGCTTTCAGAGCTTTACACACTAAGTCACTAACGAAATCGACTTCGACGGCTTTCTTCTTCTTTCCTCGATTTTAAACTGATACACAACGATCCTAAATGGGCTCTATGTGGCCCCCACTTTTTGACCCAATATCGAGTTGGAATTTGAGATACAAAATTTCACTCAAAACGTTTCTTTTCTTCTAAAAATTTAAACATAAATGTGAACGACATACAATTTTAATTTGCTTTTCATTTCACTCAAAAACTGTTGGATAGGAAAATAGTGAAAAAAAAAAATCCAATGGAATAAAATAGAGAAAAAACAGAAGTAATTAAGCTTTCAATCAACATCCCCTTTGGAAAAAAAAATTGAAGCAACTAAGCTTTCTTCAGCAGTACTACTTGGCAGTAATATTTTGAAGTAATGCATCAAAAAGTGTTGAGCATGATCAGTGTATCTTATGTGAAATTATTTAGAGAACTAGAAGTTACAGCTGGTTTTGAAACCTTGTGTCAGTGGTTTTAAATGCTTAAAAGATGGGAACATGATGTTTTCTTGTTATCCACGTAACTGAAACAGGGTCAACGCTTTTAAATCTTAAAAGACAAAGCAAATAGAAAATAGGAATTCCCTAACGTAACGTAACTAAGATGATCATGTTTTGAGAATGTAGAACAAAACTTAACAATATCATAAAGAGGTCTCTCAAGCAATGAAGCGGTTGATGAACACAGTTACAAAAGCATCATATTCTCTCTACATAGTCTATAAAGATGCGAGGAGCGAAATTTGGATCCTTATAAATCTCTTCAGGTCCCAGAAAATTGACCCTTGTAAAAGTGTTCCTCTCGATATTGAAATAGAATAGGTGGAAAGGGCTTGATTGACGGTACGGCGATAACACAATCTCACATGCACCGGTCATTCCAACAATGTGAGCACGGATTCCGACCTCATCGTATAATGAGCTTAACACTACGCTTTTCCTTTTGGACCATTTATGGTTTCCAGCATCTTCTTCTAGAACCCACAACACAACTCCATACTCATGTTTTACTAATAACCCTAAGTTACCTTTGTAGTTGATCAGAGTCCCATCTGACATTTCTTCATTTATCCAAATAAAGCTGAATTTCTCAGAGCAAAAGTCAAAGGAAACTATCATATTACATCTTCCAGAGTGAGCTCCGTAATACAAAACGTCGTTTATCCATATTTCATGACGTAAGGATATTCCAGTGAGCATGGGATGTTGGTGACTACATTCAATCGATCTCCACACACGTTTTCCAGTACTCCTCAATGTCAAAACCCAATGACCATCAGGTTCTCCATACGTTGTACACAAGACTTTGAATTGTTTGTTGATGGGATCATAGCCAACATAGCTTCTTCCATTACCACTCTTGGCTTTCACTTCGGGTAAGGTTATGGACTCTCCCGTGACGGGGTTACAGATCACATGCACATCGCTTCCCCATTCATGAAGAGAGACCAATCCACGGTGAGGTGGTCTGATGCCAGATGGAAGATAATTGAGAAAACACCTATCATAACGGGTGGCTACAAGAGTAGAGTTGTCAGCTGGATTTTGAGGTTGTGGTGAAGAGAAGAAGAATAACTCTGTATCAACTTTGATGCCGAACAAGAGCCGTGGACGAGCTAAAGAATTAGTGAGGAACAGCTCCGTGAAATAAGGAAGGCCAAGTGTGGATGACCAGAATTTAGATAAGCAACGAAACCTAAATATTGACTTTGCAGGGACTCGAGAGAATATATCTATAAGGAGATCAGTTGGGATCGGGTCTGTGTATGCTCTTACCGAGTTCCAAGATTGTGTGGTCAATAAAAGATCATGCTGCTCCAGATTTGTCATGGCGGCTGTTTAATTTAAAACCTAGAGTCAGTTTCAGAGCTTACACACGAACGAAATCGACTTCGGTGGCTTTCTTTTTCATTGAACTTACTTTTATTATACGCAACCATCCTAAATGGGCTCTAAACGGCCCAATACTTTAATCACCCCGTTTTGTAAACCGGAATGTATTTGTTCTAGATAACTTCCCTCGTCATAACATGCTTGATTCCTTTGAAGGCATTTTTTACTCGTTTATATATTTCCGGTTTAGTTATCTTTGTTTCTGAAAACAAATTTAAAACAGTTTCATCTTCCTATTTTATCTCTTACTCTCTATCATTCATCTTTCATCATCAAATCTGGGGTTGTATGCCCAATCCATAAACCTGTTAAACTACAACTTGCATGATCTTTTTTTTTTGGGTTTTAATGTGAAGATTTTTATCCTCTTGGATAAAAGGAAACTCCATTGACGCTCCTTCAAAGCTCCGAAAAATTGCAGGTCATGCAACCATCTACCATATCTGGAGGCAAAGAAATAATGTGCTTCATAATCAGCTTTCACTACCACCGACCACCATCTTCAAAGCAGTTGACCGCGAGATCCGAAACATTATCACTTCTAGAAGGCACAGGAAGCAATTCTGCAACCTGATGTTGAGTTGGTTGCTTTAATTAGTACCCGTATTTCCCTTTTTTGTATTTTATGTTGCCCTGTTTTTTAATCTTTTTTGCCAAGGCTTCATAGGTAGGTCTACGTTTGTAAAACCTTACATTTCATTTTAATGATATTAACATTCCTAGCAAAAAAAAATGTGAAGATTTTATTACCAAAAAAGCCTACTACAAAATACAATAATACGTGCCATTGGGATTTACTCGCTTTATATTTTTGTTTAAACTCAATAAATATGTGGTTCAGAAACGAAAACAAGAACCAATTCTTAAAATTTTATCTTTTTCCTAATAAGATCATGCAAGTTTTTTTGGCGTTCGTTCCATTTGGGTAAGTATGTATAGGTAAGGGTTCCTTATTATCAGTATCAAACTCTTTCTAACTAAGAAGAATTGAACTTATCGTAGAAAAGGTTGTCTTATTACAATGCCAGAAAAAACACAAACCGAAACACAAGCACAAAGCTTTATATAGTTGCAACATGAAGAGGTAAAGGAGCAGCAAAATAAACTTCAATAGCCAACAGGTCAGAGTCACTAGACCTCCCATGAAAACCAGCTAGAGCATTGCCTCCATCTTGAACCTTGAATTCTTGTCCTAAAACCGCTCCAAATAGGTCAGAGCTTCTCCCCTTTGAGGTACTGAAAACCAATGATGAAATTGCTGAAATTTGATGATTGACAATGTTTATATATGTCCCCTTGACAGATGTGATATATTCATCTACATCCTCCAGCTCAAACTGCATAAAAAAATGGATTGGTACAAGTGTCTCAGTTATTATATCCCTGTGTGGAGAATAGAATCAGAATTAGAATTAGAATTATTACCTATGATCTTCAAGTCATAGTCGAAATTTATACACCCAACCAAAGAGCTGCCGATCCGAAAAACGTATATATTTGGGCAGCTAATCTAGTAGTTGGAATCTGAGCACAATATGCTCCAAGAGAATGGAGGTTTTCGTGTCCATGAAACCCTAAGAGCTTATGCCCTTTGGCCCTTGCAATTGACTGAGAACAAAACATCACGATTGAAAAAAAATTGCACAAATCTGGAACAAAAATTAAAAGGATAATTTAACTAGCATATTGGGTATGCACCATAACTCAAGCATCATGAAATATCATACCTATGGACTATGGTTCCACTCTAAAAGTGTTTGATTTTTTACCCACTAGCGTTATGCATTGACATTGTATTTTCTGGTAGGTGATTTGAGAAAATTAGTAAAGCTATATAAATTCTGAATTGTGGTAAATAGAAATATAATTTTCAGTATGGAAGCAATACTTTAAAGTTAATTTTGTGGTATTTTTTTTTTTATTGCTTTGATTCGTTTCATAGTATCTTTTATGGTTTTACTTTGATTCATTTCCGATAATCTTAATGATTTCAGTTTTGCGTATTTGTTACTTTTAGTATCAAGCAAATTATCTTTTATTTGTGATTTGTCAATTTAGAGATCAGACAAGTTGTTTTTTAAATGTGATTTCTAACCAAACTATATTCTTTCAAGTATGTCTTACTTTGTTAGTTTCCAATTTTTCGACAATCTTTTTATAGCTTGAAAAATTGCTCGGTTTCATCAATTAGGCCAAAAAAAATACTGTAACAGCTGCTTCGTTAGGCTTTGGAGAGAGCATAGTTTTAATATTTCTCATCAAATACAACTAGAACTATTAATATAAGTAAAGCATACTAATAAGTAGTTATTTCCTGAAACCATCCCCACAAATCTTTTGATTTTACGATACAACGTACAATGGTTTTGATTGTTTGGATCTTGTATGGATAATGGATTAAACTACTTATCGTCATTGATTTTAAGATTTCCAATGTTTTAATTTCGCCAAATGGTCTCGGAACACATTTTAAATTCGTTAAACCAAGATACCGTTGAATATGAAAACGACGAAATACAATAAAAATCGACCGGTTTTACTTAACCGATTTCGTTAAATACTTTTGACTTTCGCGCCAACAAAAAAAAAAGTAGTCTTTTTGCGACTTCCAAGCGAAATCAATGTCCGCCGTAAAATCTGTCTCCTCCTTCAGGCTCGCCTCTCTCCTCCGCTGTGAGAATGATCCCTCCGCCGCCATTAAGCTTTTCCGAAACCCTGATCCAGAACCAACGAACCCAAAAAAACCCTTCGATTACTCGCTTCTTTGCTACGATCTCATCATCACCAAACTTGGCAAATCCAAGATGTTTGACGAGCTAGATCAAGTCCTCCTCCAGCTCAAAACCGATACTCGGATCGCTCCCATGGAGATTATATTCTGCAATGTGATCAATTTCTACGGCCGTGGAAGTTTACCCAGTCGTGCGCTCCTACTGTTCGACGAAATGCTTCAATACCGTTGCGAACCCACTTTGAAATCCGTCAACTCTCTGTTGAGTGCGCTCATAAAGTGTGGAGCTTTCGACAAAACGAGAGAAGTTCTCTCGAGCATTGAGTAAGCCCGGGGGGGGGGGGGGGAGGAGGGGGGGGGGGGGGGGGGGGGGCGGGGGGGGGTGGGGCGGGGGCGGGGGGGGGGAGGGGGCGGTGGGAAGGCGGGGGGGGGGGGGGGAGGGGCAGTGGGGGGGCGTGTGGGAGCTTTCGACAAAACGAGAGAAGTTCTCTCGAGCATTGATAAATTCGGTAAGCCCGACGCTTGTACGTACAACATACTGATCCATGGATATTCTCAGAGCGGCTGTTTCGATGATGCCTTGAAGTTATTCGACGAAATGGTCAAGAGAAAGGTGAAGCCCAGTGGCGTAACATTCGGGACGCTGATTCACGGGCTGTGCAAGAATCTCAAGGTGAAGGAAGCGTTGAAGATGAAGCAAGACATGTTAAAAGTGTATGGAGTTTCTCCCACTGTTCACATTTATGTATCGTTGATCAAAGCTCTGTGTCAAGTTGGTGAATTGAGTTTTGCGTTTAAGCTGAAAGATGAGGCGTACGAAGGAAAGATCAAAGTAGACTCAGCTATTTACTCTACGTTGATTAGCTGTGTTATAAAAGCTGGAAGGTCAAACGAGGTCTCAGGGATTTTGAAAGAGATGGAAGAGAGAGGATGCAAGCCTGACACGGTGACTTACAATGTACTGATTAACGGGTTCTGCGTTGAGGATGATTTGGAATCAGCGTATCGAGTTTTGGATGAAATGGTTGAAAAGGGTTTGAAACCAGATGTTATCAGCTACAATGTGATACTTGGAGCTTTGTTTAGAATCCAGAACTGGAAAGAAGGGACTTACTTGTTTGAAGATATGCCTCGGAGAGGTTGCGTTCCAGATATCTTATCTTACAGGATAGTTTTCGATGGGCTTTGCGATGGTTTACAGTTCGAAGAAGCAGCGGTTATCTTGGAGGAAATGGTTTTCAAAGGCTACAAGCCTCGCAGTGATAGGCTTGAAGGGTTTCTGCAAAGGCTATGTGAGAGTGGGAAGATGGAGATTCTTGGGAAAGTTGTCAGTAGCTTGAATAAAGGGAATGATGTTGATGCAGATGTTATGATGCGTACAAGAACCGAGTTTCTATCAATTGATCCAGCAAAACGAGCTCCATATCCGTTGTTGGAGTCTAGACATAAAGTTGATGGTGCTATCTAAGAGTGTAAAGATATAAACACACCAGGATCAGGAAAAGAGAGAGTTTGTCATCTAGGAAACATATCTAAGAGTCTATTGATTTGTTGTAATCATATCGATCAGAGTTTTTGTAGAATTTGCAGACAAACATGAAGCATATTCTTGAATTTGTTGGAAGACAAACATTGCTATTAGACATGTTAATATAGACTTTTCTTGATAGGTTTGCTAAACATTGGAATAATCAGAATTTAAAATATTGACCGATTAGGAAAAAAGAAAAGAAAAGTGCATAAACATATGATATTTACGACAAAATCGTATTAACGTCGATGATCGGTTAAGTGGTTATTTCGAATTCATAATCTTATTTACTATATGAATTTAGTATTGCAAACCAAAGCATGTGTTCCTCTAATTATTTCTCCTTGTTGATTTTGAGTTTTGCCATTTACATCTTGATTGACATCGTCTCAAGTGGGAAGGTTGTAGTAAATGGTAAAATCGATACGTAGTGGGACTTTCTATACGTAGTAGTAAATGGTACACAACACTTTGAACTATTGATATTGTTATTGGAAGAAAAAAAAAGAAAAAACAGAAGTAATTATGCTTTCAATCGACATCCCGTTATTGAAAGAAAAAAAATGGAAGCAATTGAACTTTTGTCTCTCAAGTGCTTGATTTTTTTTTTTTTTTTTTTTTGTGTCTCTCAAGTGCAACGTTCTAGCGTTGGATTTTTTTTTTTGTTGACATTAATTTTAAATTCAATTCAAAAGAAGAAAAAAAATCTAACGTTGGCTTCCTGGATTCTTAGGTGGTATCCCCGAATCCAACAGCTGTTGCATTTTTTGGTCCTCAGGCAAAGGCGGACCTACTTGAACCAACAATGGTTCAAATGACACACATTAAATTTTAATTTTTTGGTTAAAAGCTTCTGAATTTATTAATTGAACCAGGTTAATTTTTGAGGTTGACACCCTATTAACTACAACCTAATGCTTTTGGTTCACTAAATCTTTATTAAAAGTCCATCATACACTAAATATGAGACTTGTTTTTACCTAAAGAAAATATAAATTGCTAATATGTAAAGCCCAAATAGCCTAAACCTACATCATCACAAATTTTTACCAAGGAACGTAAAGTGTTTTTATGTAAAATATTATGTATTTTTACAAAAAAAATTATTAATATTAATATTTTTATGTTTTTGACCCCGGTAAAAAAATATTCTAGGTCCGCCACTGTCCTCAGGCGGTATCACCGGCAGCTCTCGCCTCACTAGTTTCTTGATTGCTGCTATCTTTTCGTCTGCTACGTCTTGCTCTGTTACATTTCCATTTGCCTGACCCAATGCCGGCAGAGGCATCATCAAGTTTTCTTCTCTTAGCCGCAATCTGTTCTTCGATAGCGCCAAGACGATTTTCCTTCATCTTTCGATAACACCCAAGAGCAACCCAAACATGAAACCGTTTAATCAACCCGATTCTGGCAAATATCCACCCAAGCAAAATCACAACTGAAACGGGACAAGAAGAGGCAGCGACGATGATGGCAATCATGTGTTTTGTGGTGCCCTCCGCAATAGAAGCATCTCACCTCTATACAAAACACTCTAATGTGGCCGGACTTGCGAACCAGTGTACGTTTGACACATAGCACATGTATAGAAGATGATATAGTGACGAAAACATCACGATTGGAAAAGAATTGCACAAATTTGGTACAATGCCTTAACTCAAGCATCATGAAATATCCTACCTCTTGTTCCACTTAAGAGTGTTTGATTTTTTACCCACTAGTGTTATGCATTGACATTGTATTTTCTGGTACGTGATTTGAAAAACTTAGTAAAATTATCCAAATTCTGAATTATGGTCAATAGTTACATATAATTTTCAGTATGCAAGCAATACCTAGTTAAGTAAGAGAGAGCATCAATCAAATATGCAGGTTGTGAGAAGGATCCCATCGGGCCAATACGTAGCCGACTTTGTAAAATGACTACCATTTGATTATAAATTTTTGGGAAGTTGATGAATATGACCTTGGAAAGTTAGTTAATAACTACAATAACTCTTGTAAATTCAAGTGGCTTAAACAGATTTTTTTCCCGATTTTACCCTTATTTCTTTGGTGACAAAAAACGTATTTACGAAAGTGCCATTAATGAACCGGGATAATAAGTCTACAAAAGACGTTTTCCAAAATAAGTCTACAAGAATAAATCTACAAACAATGACCGTAGAGTTATTATGAAAATTGTAGACTAATTTTTCGATTTGTAGATTTATATCGTCTTGTAGATTTATCTCTTATTCGTAGACTTTTGTTTGTAGATTTATTTTTAGTTTCCGTAGACTTAATTAAGTTTGTAGAGTTATTTTATTATTGTAGATTTATGTTTGTAGACTTAATTCATATTGCAGTAGACTTTTAAAAAATGTCAAAGTCGAAGTGGCATTTTGTAGATTTATTAATAAATTTGTAGATTTATTGTTGTGTAGCCGTAGATTTATAGTTTTCTTGTAGACTTATTTGTTTTGGCCGTAGATTTATTTTTATGTTTATGTTACGGTAGACTTAGTTTACATTACTGTAGATTTATACATTGTCTTGTAGATTTGTTTATTTGACAGTAGATTTAAGGAACATGCTAACTTTCCGTTTATGTTATGGTAGATTTATTTTCTTTGATTGTAGATTTATTGGTGCACAGGTAGATTTATTCATTGTTGTGGTAGACTTATTTATAACAATTGCAATGATCATAGACTTTTATTTGTATATAACAACAGACGTAAACTTAGATGTAATGGTTGTAGACTTTTGTTTGTATATTACAATAGTAGTAGACTTAATTTACTGAGCGTAGATTTATTTAAAACAATTGCAATGGCCGTAGACTTTTATTTGTTTATTACCACATAAGTAGACTTACTTCGTTGAGTGTAAACTTATTAATAGCAATTACAATGGTCGTAGACTTTTGTATCTATAGTACAATAATATTAGTGTGGGTTCGGAAAACCACACTCAAAATTTATGTGTATTTTGTAGGGAGAAATTGCCTGTGGAATCAGAGGTTAGATTCTGATGTAAGTCGAATGATTCGTAGACAAATATTTGACGAAATCGGACTTAGGCTAATCGAATAAAGTGGTTACAAAACCGGCCTAAAAGACCATGTAAAACACTAGGATTCGACTAAGCAAAAGAGATGGAAATGAGGTGGTGGCTGCGCTCGTGTAACGAGCTGCCTACGTACCCTGTTTTAGGGATCAAGCCAGAACGTAGTTCGATTGTAAGTTGTTCTCTATTTCGAGTCGTTTTCTGAAGAGAAATGACCACGAAAAGAGCTAAAGGGGTGTGAAGATGACGATAAATCTCAGGTTATCGGAGTGATCCGAAGGTAAGAGATTATGTCAAACTTCTGCCGGAAGTGATTTCCGGCTAGAAAGATCAGGGCTTTCTGGGATTATCTCAAAGACCAAGGATAAGATCGAAGAGAAAAGGATGAGAATATCTCAAGACAAAGAAGTGAGAAGATGTTTTCTAGAAAGGAACTTATCAGAATTGTCTCTCAAAGAGAAGATTAAACTTTCTCGGAAATGGAACTTATGCCTTGTGATCAAGAATCGTCCTCCTTTTATAGCTCCGAAGTAGATCGCAACCTCCTCCGCGTATCTCGTCCACGTGCAACTACCGATCCCGCTATTTCCGGATCTGAACGTCGAAGCGAGATTCTCGTTTGACTCGTTCAAACTCAGCTTGCGGACTTGACTCCGTCGAGCTAGAGCTCGACTTCGTCTTCACAAGTAGCTCGGACAGTAAACAGCTGGATTTTGGACAAGGATACTTGGTGGGCTCGAGGTCATTTTACTGGGCCTGAGTGGACTTATCTTGACCTTAGGACTTAGGTGATGGGCCTTATGGGCCGGATTTCTGGAGGGAAATCCAGGTCCAACAATAGCCCCCCAGCTCATTAAGTGAGTATAATCAACTTAATGAGCGGTAGGTTGTTTTAAATTGTCCCGCAGTCCCGTCGAACTAAATCATGACTTTGAATGTCATTAGAGATCGATGGTCGCAAACGGGAAGGCGAAAGATCTTTGAGATCTTGCCGTTGAATGATAGTTTCACCTTGAAAGACAAGGTAATTGAAACAACCAACAT